TCCTCACAATCATGATGCGCCATTGTCATTTTCAGGAATTACTAATGCACCATTAGAGCTTGAAACAGTTGATTCATCAGATGTAGGCACTTGGCCGGCTATTCGGAATAGCAAAACTATTGATCATTTAATAACTACGGATCCAACGCAAATTCATATTGAGCGAGATAACTTTCCGAAAGATAAAATTGGTCGTCATTTCGCAAGCTCTTACTACACTAAGAAACTTGCAAATAATGAAACTATGCCGCGTCGTTGGTTAGTTTACTCTATTTCTAAAGATCGAGTTTTTTGTTTTTGTTGTCGGCTTTTCGATAATCAACCGACATCGAATTTAGTGTCTGAAGGATATAATGACTGGAAACATTTGTCTGAAACTCTGAAAATGCATGCAAACAGCACATTCCATAAGAAATTTTACTATCAATGGATTGAAGCTGAAATGAGATTGAAGAGAGGAAAAACGATCGATTGCGAAGAACAAAAATTGATTAGTAGAGAAACTTTGCGGTGGAATAATGTTTTCATTCGGTTGATGAATATTATTCTTTATCTTGCTGAAAATAATATGGCGTTCAGAGGAACCTCGGACAAATTATACACACCGAACAATGGGAAGTTTTTGGGTCTAGTACAACTAATAGGCAAGTTTGATCCGATCATGCAGGAACACTTGAGATTAGCAATGACGGGTAATATTTCGGACCACTACTGTGGAAAGGATATTCAAAATGAATTAATAGATCTGATGGGCGGAAAAGTTAAATCTGAAATTGTATCGCGAGTCAAAAACTCCAAATATTATTCCATCATAGCTGATTGCACTCCAGACATAAGTCATATTGAACAACTTTCTTTTACGATTCGATTTGCTGACTTATCTGATGACAATATAAAGGAGCATTTCATAGAATTCATTCCTGTCAGTGACTCTAGTGGCGCAGGGCTTACTGAAGTAATTCTGAATGTATTAAATAAACACGGACTTGAACTGCATAATTGTAGGGGTCAAGGGTACGATAACGGAGCAAACATGAAGGAAAAAATATTGGTGTACAAAAAAGAATCTTAGATTTAAATCCCTTGGCTTTCTTTGTACCGTGTGGTTGCCATAGCTACAATCTCGTACTGTGTGATGCTGCTAAATCGTCAGTGAAATCAGTTACTTTGTTTGGGGTTTTGCAGAGATTGTTCACACTATTTTCTGCTTCTGTTAATCGGTGGAAAATCCTAATCGATCACTTAGGACTCTACAGTTTAAAAAAACTGAGTGATACACGTTGGGAAGCAAAAATAAACAGTGTTAAAGCAGTCCGCTATCAAATTTGTGACGTTCGATGCACGATGCTTTAGTTACTTTGGCTAATGAAACTGAAAAAAGTGATGTTACTATCTCGCACGAAGCAATCACTCTAGCAAAACAGTTGAAAGATTTTGGCTTCATAGTTTCCCTAATTGTTTGGTACGAGATTCTTTTTCAAGTCAATGTCGTGAATAAATCTCTGCAATCAAAAAACGTGGACCTCGGTAAATCCATTAAAATGCTGGAAAACTGTTGTAATTTCTTAGAAGAGTACCGAAAAACTGGTTTCAACTCTTTTGACAGCAAGTGACCTGGCGAAAGAACTACAAATTGAGCCTGTTTTTAAGCCAATGGAACGAGTACGATGCATAAAACGCCAAGCTGGTGAAATGGCCACGGACGAACTCATCGAAACCCCAGAAAAAAAAATTTGAAATTGAATTTTTCAATAAACTGTTGGACACCACTTAATGTCGATGAAAGAAAGGTTCAAACAGTTACATGATTATTCAAAAACATGGTCTTTTTTGTACAATATAAAAAAAATACCTGAAAGAAAGGAACTTTTGAAATTCTGTGCTGATCTCCAACGAAAACTTACTAATGGTTCTAATTCCGATATAGATGGTCATTTGTTGTGTGACGAACTCATAAGTCTTAAAAAGTTTCTTCCGGATAACGATGATATTACTCCCATCTACGTTTTAAACTTTATTAAACAGCGCAATATTCAAGAACTATATCCAAATGTATGGATTGCGTTTCGCATTTTGGTAACTATACCTGTAACAGTAGCTAGTGGAGAACGTAGTTTTTCAAAACTTGAGTTAATAAAGACATATTTACGATCAACCATTCCACAATCAAGATTTACTAATTTAGCTACTTTTTCAATTGAAAATGAAATTGCCGAAAACGGATTTTGCCGATTTGATTCGAGTGTTTGCCGACAAAAAGGCCCGAAAAGTAAAATTGTGTTAGATTTCCGTAATCTCCGAAAACTTTAGTTTAATCTCTCTCCTCTAAAGGACCGGAAAAAATTAAAAAAAAGCAAAAAATAGAAAAAATAGAAAAAAAAACAAAAAAATATTAAAAAAACACAAAAAAAAAAAAACAAAAAAGGAGCTACAAAAACTTTCTACGTCCACGTCGTTAGCTCTGGTTAAAGCTAAAGGAAAGTTTTCTGAATTCTCATATGCGTTCATTCATTTATATCCGTTTAAATTAGTAAAGCTGCTATGTAGTTTAAAAATTTTTACAATCTTACTACAGATTCATAATCTTTTAATTTCTTTAAAAAATACTTTATTAGCAAAATTTGAAAATTTCATTACCATTCCGGACCGTTTATGCCCTTTTTGGAGCTCTGTACAAACCTGGTACACAACATGAAGGATTTTAACTCACTCTCTTTTCTTAATTCCATGTTCTACAATTTTTATTTTATAATACTTTTTGGTAAATCTAATAATTTTAGTGTTGTTTTAAGTTTTTTGGTGAAAATTATTTGTTTCATTTTTTGCGATTTTCTTCAAAACGAAGCAAAAACGAGCAAATCTCTAAAGGACTTTTTGTCTTAGTTTATCGGTCCCCTACACGCCCCTAAAGTTTTGTCATTTAAATTGAGGACACCCTGTATACACAAAAATTTTTTATCAAAAAAGACTACTATTTTTTATGAAAAATGCCGTTTCTCTGGAAGTTAATCGTTAACTGTATACATCTATATTAATCTATTATTTGGTTATTCTTTTTAGACTTCCGGTTCTGACTTCCGTAGACCGTAACCTTCTGCTTAGCTAGTTTGAGAGTAAGAGGGATTCCCTAAAATCTAAAAACAAAGTGGGGTTCACCGTTTGATATTACCACCTTGTCTTTTTTTTCTCAAAAATTTCGAGCCTCTGAATGGGCGCCATGATAATCTTGCCCAGGGCGCCAATATTGCTAAAACCGGCACTGCCTACAATAATTGTACATGCCCCGATCTTGCCTTGACCGGCCGGATCGTGCTTTTGATCTTGCCCCTTATAACTTAAAAAGTACTTAACAAAAAGGTACTTAATTATAGGGTTTTGAAAAGCTCTCGCTGTAAGCCAGAAGAATATGTAATAAAAAGTAGGTAGTTCCATTTAAGAAATTGAAAATGACCTTCACGTAACCTTCAAGCAACTATTCAAGGTCAAACTAATGGCACCATCTTATGTCTTTTTTGAAACCATACAATTTTTGTCTGAAACATTTTGTTCTACAATCAAAAATAAAAAAGTTATTTGGGGTGGGACATTAAAATGGAACACCCTGTATATACAGGGTGGACCAGTAACTCTTGCCACCTCGAATATCTTCCAGTCTAGAACACTTATGAAAAATTTTCTCCTACAAAAGTTTTATATATTTGAGCACATTTCATAAGTTTCTATTAATGTTTTTATTAATTTCATGAGTTTTTATTAATATTAATATTAATATTTTATTAATAGAACAGTTACGAAAAATTTTTTCCTACAAAAGTTTCATATATTTGAGCACATTTCATAAGCGTGAGTTTTTATTAATATTAATTTAATTATTTTTTTATAAATTTTTTATGTTTGATATTAATTGACAGTCTTGTAATTTACCTTCCTAACGTTTTTTGAGCCCCTCTATCGAATTACGCAAAAAAAAAATAGTCGTCCCATTTGAAAAAGTGGAGTTGACTTTGAGATCTCCGAAGCGCCGCTACCCCGACAAACTATGTTACCATCATTCGATGGCCCCTTTGAAACTATAAAACTTTTGTAGGAAAAAATTTTTCGTAACTGTTCTAGACTCGAAGATATTCGAGATGGCAAGAGTTACTGGTCCACTCTGTATACAGGGTGTCTTTTTAATCTTAACAGGCAAATATCTCAAAACTATATACATAAAATATTTGGTAATTATGTAGTATAAGGGAGTCACTCCCGATTTCAATAATTTTCACATATATTATCAAGGTCGTCATTCTGAGTAATGTGAAGATTTCAGTCGGCGCTCTTTGTTTGTTTAAAAGTTATTAGCAAAAAATGTATAATGAATACTACATAATTATAAAACACTGTATATACAGTATTACCTTGTTCGTTTAACTTGGTTTGTTTGCCTTTCTTATACTGAAGTCGTCTACTGAAAAAACAACACATCTCTATATTGTTGATATGTCTTACAATTTTGTAAATACTGGCGGAAATATTAGCCAGTACAAAATAGATCGTTGAAAAGTTAACAGTCAATTTGAATAGTTACTTGAATAGAAAATAAAATTCTACGAATTTTTTGCTTTGACAACAAATTATAAAGAATTGTTAAAGTATTCGTCTGCAAAAAACGTTATTCGCAAGATAATAAAATGTCCACGTCAAAATATTGTAAAATTAAAAGATGGAGAGCTTCTCTTTCACTGTGGGAAACATTATTATAAAGAAATGCAAAAACATAAACGACTTACTTGCAACTTTAAAATCAGTGCTTTTCATGGAACTTGGTTTTCGCATGTAACGCGTTACGGAAGAGCTTGTGCGGTGGCCCTTATCTTTGTTTGACAATGTGAAAATACTATCTTTAAGGAATTTATGTTCTATATTTGCATGTATCCTATTATATTTAAAAAGGAAATTTAAATAACATATATGTGCAGGTAAATTGATTTCTGACACATCAATTTTCTTTCTTTCAGGATGACACCCGTATAATGAAAGTTGGAGATAAGAAACGTTGGATACATGATCCAAATAGTGAGTAGTGTTGGATCATCTGTATATATTTATAATTATGTTTTCAATTATCTTAATACGCATCTTTTTATATTTTTTATTATTAATTTATAAAGTGTAAAATTAATTGAAAGTTATTTGAAATATAATTAAATAAAAAAAAATTTTTGTCACTTTTTAAATAAATTTTACCAGTTTTTACAATAAGCGAAAGAATTTATTTAATTATTTATATTGTAATTGTTTTTGTTTTCTATAACTTTTTATGAATATTCTAGCTACATTCGTACTTTTTTATTGTAAAAAATGAGCGATTTATAACCGAAAAATGAAGCTTAATGTTTTAAATATGTGAAAAACGCGACATTTTTTCCGTACAAACTGTTTTGTTATCATAAAACTATGTGATAATTTTATAAGGTAATATTTGGAGACTATACAACACGAAAGAATATTCAATTCAATTTCTTGAGTTTACACGTCCACGTAAGTTCAGACATTATGTAAGTGTAAGACGATGCTCTCTTAAGCTAAAATCGAGTGTTTCTTTAAGATCGTTATCTTTAATTTATCCAATTGTTGATCATTTCTATTTGAATTTATTCTATCTTCGATGAGAAGTATATGTATAATTCAAAAAAGATAATACATATTTTTGTAATTTTATTATATGTATAAACAATAAACATCATTATTTTTGAGTATATCAATGCGTTTGATTTAATTAATCAGGTTTATTTTTTTTGCGCTGAACATTATACATGATTCATTTTGTATGATCAGCCATTAATCGATCCAAAACATGGATAGATTTGATTCGATTGTGTTTTTATTGTAAAAAAAATAAAATAAAAATGAGTGATACCAATCTGTATGAGTGTATACCAATACATTTGTATGTTATGCTTTATATGCATCGGAGAAGTACGAATATTGCAACTAGGTAACATGTAAAAAATGTATAAAGGCCGCGCATGAGTCTGTTAGTCTATGAGTATAAAGGGCGGACATAAGTCCATGTGCATTTGGCCAAATAAACAATTAGTAAAAAAAATTCAGTTTATTTTATTTTTCTCAGTAACTGCATGAGAGGCATTCAACCATCAAAATTAGAATTATATTTAAACTTTTTTAAATGTCGATACACGATTAATCTATCAATATTTTCAATAACATTTCTTGTCAAAATTGAAAAAAAATATTTTGAATTGTGTACAGTATTATCATCGAAACGCCCAAAATTTATTTTTCAAGTTTATTTTTCATATCAAAATATTACAATTCTGTGAACAATTTTTCCAGGTCTACTTTAAATGAAGATCGCGGTTTTTATAAAGTTTTCTAAAGTAGTTGCAATGGTGGAGCTTCTTCGATGCATATAAAGCATAACATATTGAAAATATTGGCATACATCACTCATTTTTATTATTTTTTTTTACAATAAAGATACGATGGAATGAAATCTATCCATGTTTATATTGACCATTTTAAAAAAAGTAAAAAAAGGCGCCAAGTACATACGCCATTTGTGAAAAAATTTTTATTATGTTATATGTATTTATAAAATAGTATTATTTTAATTTAATATGTACAAAATGGTGTTATTTTAAATTATTGAAAATAAAAACCTATAAAAATATTTTAACTAAAAAAAGTTGTATAATTATATCCTACAAAAATAATAATATCAAAAAATTGCGCTAACTAAAAGTAAAAAATCATACAAATATTTTAACCAAAAATAGTTGTACACAATAGCTGCTTTAATTTTTTTACTTTGTGCTATATATATATAAAATTTATTTATTTCCAATATTAAAAGAAAACTTATATACAATAATACAAAACACAAAAAAACATAAAACAAAAAATTAATAGAAAAATTAAAACTTAGAAATTAATGCAAAAAATTAAAAATTTGTACAAAAATTAAAAATTAATACAAATAAAAAAAAAGTAAAAAAATTTTATAAAAAAATTTAGTAAAAGTACAGATATAAAATAAATTATGAAAAATGTAGTATATTAAAAAAATACTATATACATATACATATAGTATTTTTATTTTGAAATAATGTCTTATTTTTCTTTAGCGATTTCCTTCCGTTTAAAAATTCTAAAAATAAAACATTATCTCAAAAAGTCATAAATTTTTATTTAAATTTTATAAATACTTACTATTTATAGTATAGACAAAATTTAAAATAAAAAATAATTGAAAATATTTTTGAAATTAATATAAAAAAGTATTTCTATATATTCTTAGGTATCCCACCGTTTTCTCTTATACTATAATTAATAGATTTGTTTTTTATAGCTGCATTAACACAGTTCAATACAGAATTAAGTTCAATACAGAATTTTAAGAGTACAAGAGTACAAATACAAGAAACGCCAATGCAGAGATCAACATGGCATTATACAAAGTTGATATCGAATTTAGAACTATTTAATTCTTTAGATGAAGAGAATCTTATGTTCCTCACATTAGAAACAATCTTGGATAAATATAAATAATCATGAACAATGATATACCCCATACAGCACAAAGACATCCAAGAGAGATAAGAAAAAAAGATCGTGAATTTACGCAATTACAACGAGATTTTTCTCGTTTCTCTTGGATGTCTTTATATATTCTCAAAGTTTATTTATTAAATTTGAAGCATTTTGCATATTAAAAAATTATTATCAAATTTTTGCTTTTATATAGAAATGGAAACTATTAAACAATTTTCTGTTATCTAATTAACAGCGCTATTTTATAAATAATTTACAAGTTTACGAAATTGATAATGATTAAATAATTTAACCCATAAAAATTAAAATTGTATTTGTATAAATATTAGACTCTATTTTACATTTTAAGTAGACAATAAACGGATAATTTTAACTTTTTCGGACACTTATTTGTCCGATTTTTGAACACTCAATTCAATATCTGAATTCCCTGTGTTGGGATCGTATCAGACAAATTAATCTGATAAAAATAGTTATTATACCTTTAATCTTACTAGCCGCTCTTTGCAAGCTTTATATAGCTATCGTGATTAAGAGGATGCCGGAGCGACGGGCGAACTCCGACGGGTGAACGCCCTCATCTAAGTGTAACTAAAAGTGTCGGTATAATGGAGCGCTCACGCACACTACCAGGCGCGCGGCTAAAGGTCGACGCTGATTGGCCAGGCTTTACTCAATAATAACTCCTTTATTAAGGGGATCCTCAAAGGTCTGTTTTACGGATAAAAACGCGAAGTATGAGTTCCGGTCGGCATCAGGAGGCGAGGTTGTTGTTCCCCTTCGCCCTTTTCCTCCTCGGCTTCCCGCGGTCTCTTGCGGGCCGGGTTGCTTGTAAAAAGATTAGTATATGAACTGATTTAGTGTACATGTGTGTGTGTGCGGAATCGATGTCGAGGAGTAAAACAGAGCAATAGATTAGTTGTCGAGTAGCGTGATAGATGAAGCTGCAATCTGTAGAGCTGACAAGGACAGACATAATCGTACTATCTTTGTCTCTTTCATGTGTATGAAAGTAATATACATGTACGCACTAACATTATTGCAGTATCTTGGTTCTGGCGGCTTTCAGGTCTTGTATGTGTACGTGTCGGTACCATTTTCCCCGCTTGCTCCTCAGGTCTACTATGACGGACGAGACGATTCGGCGAACTTCGAGCGGCCCGATATATTTTGACGCGGGTTTTGCGTTGAAATTGTCGGCTCGGTGGTCTGGCGGTTGGGCCGGTGGGCGGACGGTCCTGGCAGCGGAGGTGCATCGGCTGGTGCGGTCGGGTGCCGGCCCTTGGTGGCTCGGCGAGGTCAACGGTGGCCTGCTCCCAAGACTGTTGGACGCCAGTTGGTCGGTCGTAGAACTGGTGGATGCGACTCAGGTGTATCTGGTATCGTATATATATATATATATATGATACATATACCCAGCAAACATGGAATATATCTGCTATATAACATAGATGTAACATGTGCACTTATTATGTACATGTTATATGTATAACAATCATATCTTGGTTTGCTGGGTTACAATTTATGCAGTACAGTTCGAGAAAATTGAACTAAAATATATTATCATATATATGGATATAAATATATTATACATTTAATTTTGAATACGATGATAAATCTTTATCATCGACAGTATATCGGTATAATTGATATGATTGAGAACTAATGAGTAATATATAAACTTCTTCACTATAAATGTAAATGTTTATATATTCTTATGACATAAGTATGCACATATTAAAATTTACATTTATATAAATATTAATATAAATATTTATAAATGCAAACACATAAATTCTCTGTATGCAAAACATTGCAACAAAATTTTATGATTGTTACAATATTTTGGATATTTATAATATAGAAAGGGCTCCTTCATCGCCCATTTTCGTGAGAACGCAACCAAAATATTTTATTTATTATTTTCATAACTGCGATTATAATTTGCAAGCGAGATTGAGGCATCTTTTTTCTGGCCAATATTGTTACGAGTATCAGGATAGATTTTTTTTACTCATAATTTCTTATCATTAAAAAAAAGGCAGCAGTTTATTACTTGCTATAATATTACAAAACCGTTTCCTTATATTCTTTACATCCTTGGAGTATATTTTCTTATAAGGATTGCCTCCTAATAACGAAGATGTATATATTTTTTCTCTTTAGCTACCAACTTGTATATACACAGTCTGATAGACTATTATATACGCGAAATTTGGTGCCATCAAAAAAAGAAAAAATACATCGTTAGTAATCACAATAATAATTCCTTCCAATAATTTGTAAGCTTTTATTACTATATATGATTGGTTGCAATCATATGAAGGAATACCAGATATTGCACACTTAGTCTTTCAAAAACGGAAGTTTCTTTAAATTTCTTATGGAATAACTGTTTTTTAATAACCAGAATATTCATGCACAAACCGCATATGATATGAAATATCCAATTAATAACCAGAGCGCACATGCAAAACGTTTTTGGTGGGAAATATTTCTTT